ATCTACCTCCAAGGATAATTCTCACCAAGTAAAAATAATTTCCTACAGAAAGTTGTCAAAATATACCCAAAAGTGTTATTTCCCTATATAAACTATAGTAAACTTTACCCCCTCCCCAAGGGAGAACGGATAGCTCGGGGGTCCTGAAATTTACAATTTAAGTAAAGCCCCTGATGATCTTTCTTTCCACGCAGAGAAAATGAGTGTAGTACCTCTGAGTCTGAAGAAGAAGATTTTTGAAATATTGGTTAATTTTCCCTTTGGGGCCCCGCCCTGGCCCCAGGGGTTGGGGTAGGAATCCCAATTTTACAATTTTGAAGCCTCATCTACAAAGGATGATTCTGACCAAGTTTGAAAAAAATCCATCTGCTGGTTCTTGAGAAGAAGTTGAAAATGTAAAAGTTTACTCACGACGCACGACGGACGACGGACGACGACGGACGACGACGGACGAAAAGCGATTAGAATAGGTCACTTGAGCAAAGCTCAGGTGACCTAAAAAATAGCGGCTATGGTGGCCATATTGGATTTCTGATCGAACCGAAAACAGTCCTTTGTCAGGACCATGATTCGATCATTCCTACCAAGTCTCAGTTTAATCGAAGTATCAATGAATGTTCACGAATGACGACAGACAAAGAAGGATAGCAATAGGTCAATAGAGCTAAAGCTAAGGTGACCTAAAAACTGAACGAAAAGACCCTGTCATAGATATCCCCGCTCAGTAGACAAATCACGATGAGATAGCAATTTAGCATACTTTACAAATGGTAATTGACGTTGCTATATTTCTGTCACATTCAAACCGAACTCCCAAAGACCTCAGATCTACTGAAAGTCACAATATTCTCCCTCTTATATTCAAACCGAACACCCAAAGACCTCAGATCTACTGAAAGTCACAATATTCTCACTCTTATATTCAAACCGAACTCCCAAAGACCTTAGATCTACTGAAAGTCACAATATTCTCACTCTTATATTCAAACTGAACTCCCAAAGACCTCAGATCTACTGAAAGTCACAATATTCTCACTCAAGTTCTTATATTGATATATCTTACCTTCTGATGACCTCTGACCTGCTGACACTATCTTTGCTGTCCTCAAGTACTAATCCATCATCCTCATCTGCTTTACTCGGTTTTGTACCCTTTATCCTTAGTCGACAGGGCTGGGAGGTCGTCTGAATGGAGTCAATAAACAAATTATTGTACAATGTATTAAGGGGCAATGTAATAACTTTCATGGTTCATAAACGTTTACTTAAACAAGAGGCCCAGAGGACCTGTATCGCTCATCTGGATAATAAAGCATCCATGAAAAACTTGGCTCTGTCACTCAGCAACACCCGTCCCTCATTAGGTCCATTCTTTCTGCCTCCAATGGATTGTGGTCGATTTCTAACATTACTGTCAATTTTCCCTATTGGGCCCGCCACCTAAAGGCAACCCTCTATGTATACAAAATTGAGTCCCCTTTGCCCAAGGATGCTCTTTACAAAATTTGGTTAAAATCCCTCCAAATAAATTAAAGAGAAGAATTTTAAACATTTATCACTATGTTCCACCTGCTTGACCTTTTGTCTTTACTCCCATATGGACCACACTCTCTGTCAAAACAAATTGAGTCCCCCTTTGCCTAAGGATTCTCTGCACAAAATTTGTTTATATTCTTTTAAATCATACTAAAGGAGAAGGATTTTAATACTTTACTACTCCATTCTCCCTATTGGGCCTCCTCACTCCTCTGCCCCTGTGGAGGGGGCACACCTTCAAAATGGGTCCTCTGCCCAAGGACGCTCTGGACCAAATTTGGTTTGGTTTGTGTTTTACGTCCATCATTTAAGGACGTGCCAGGTTTTGTGGTGGAGGAAAGCCGGAGTTCGCGGAGACAAACCACCAACCTACGGCCAGTACCTGACAACTGCCCCACGTAGGTCTTGAACCTGCCACCCAGTTGTGGAGGGTTAGTGGTAGCAGAATTTCAGACGCCTTAACCACTTGGCCACCGCGGTCCCTTTTGCCCAAGGATGCTCTATGCTAAATTTGAATAAGGTACCACAGAAGGTACAGATTGGTTTGCTTTTATTTTGTTTAACGTTCTATTAACAGCTAAGGTCATTTACGGACGTGCCTCCATGTGTGTTGTGTATGCGTGCATGTGTGCCGGAGACAGGGTATGTTGGGTGCTTGCCTCCTTGTGATAGCGTCAAAGGCACACAGAATAGCATTTCGCCTGGTCACATTATACTGACTGACCGAGTTGTTGCCATTACCCTAGCTAAATGTTGAATGTTAAGCAGGGAATAACAAGTACCATTTTTATGGACTTTGGTATGTCCTGGCATGGTGACATTGCCCTCCTCACCTGGGCAAACATTCAACATTAAAGCCAAACGTGGTATTGTTAAGCAAGGACTTAGGAAGTAAAAGATTGATACAAGTAGCGAGAAAGACAAATATCCCAAATCTTGCAATGGGTGAAGCAGATTTTCATTTTTTTTTTGTTGTCCCCGAATAGAGGGCACAAAAGCAAATCCCAAATTCTGCAGGGGTTCCCATATTAATCGCCTCCTAAAATACATGCAGAGGGTAAGTTCAGTAGGTGTATTCTTTCCTCCATACCTTACTTGCTAGGGTATCAATGATTCAGAAGAAAAAGGATTTAAAATATTGAAACAAAATTCCCCTATTGAGCTCGAGCCTACTGCACCCAGAGAGGTCACATTCTCCATTTGATACAAATTTTAGTTTGCCTTGCCTAAGGATGCCTCAGGCCAAATTTGAATAAAATCCTTCCAATAAGACAAAGTAAATATGCACAACTACAGACCAAGGGGAACATACATATCAAATATGAGAAAGATCCTTCCAGTCATTTCTGGGAAATAGCACTAACAAGAAGGGAATAGCACTAACAAGAATTGTTTATGGACGCAGAGAATGACAGAATGATAGACGGACTACAGATCAAAACGAATGGTGATTTGAATAACACACCATCTGATGGTAGGCTAAAGTTTCTCCTTTGCCCAAGGATATTATGCTCCAGGCCAAATTTGGATAAAATCCCTTCTATAGTGCGGACGTAAGATTTTAAGGATTTAAACCTAAAATTCCCGTTTTGGGAGGGGAGGGGCAACTGAACCTCCTTTTATACAAGATTTAATTCCTTTTGCCCAAGGATCCTCAAAGCCAAATTTGGATAAAATCTCTTTTATACATAGAGTACAGAAGAAGAAGGAATTTTAAGATTTAAACCTCAAAAACCCCTATCTGGCCCCACCCTCCTACACCCAAAGGGGCCACACCCTCCGTGTATACACAATTTAGTCCCTTTTGCCCAAGGATGCTGCAGGCCAAATTCAGTCAAAATCCATAAAGCTGTTCAGGACTAGTAGCATTTTAAAGGAAAAGTTGAAGGACGAATGGACGTCAGATGCCGCGATATGGATTAAGTATGATTTTAAAATCATACTAAAGGACATGGATTTTAATCATATATGAATACGCTTTTGAAAAACTTTTGAAAAACTTTTGAAAACTTTTGGTCCTTCAAGTAAGACTTTAACCGCCATTGGCAAGCAAGCGACTGTCCATTTTAGGCACTGCTGCAACAACAAGGGAACAAGGGAAACCTACATATAAAATTTGAGAAAGATCCCTCTGGTACTTCCCAGGAAATAGTGATAACAAACTTTCACTATCAAAATCCAAGATGGCTGCCTGTCGGCCATGTTGTTTATCCGATCAGTCTCAAAAGTTGCCCTGTACAGCTAAGGACCAAGGGGAACCTACATGTCAAATTTGAGAAAGATGCCTCAGGTGCTTCTTAAGAAATACTGATAACAAACTTTCACTATCAAAATCCAAGATGGCTGCCTGTCGGCCATGTTGTTTATCGGATCAGTCTCAAAAGTTGCCCTGCACAGCTTAGAACCAAGGGAAACCTACATATTAAATTTGAGAAAGGTCCCTCTGGTACTTCTTGAGAAATATCGATAACAGGAATTGTTTAAGGACGGACCACGGACCACGGACGCAGGGTGATTTGAATAGCCCACCATCAGATGATGGTGGGCTAAAAATTGATCAAGGTCAATCAGTGTTGGAAACTTGATAGCCAATCACCTGAGCATGCTACAGGTCAAATATTAAGACCTAGATCTTGTAAAACTTAAAAAAAGTTACTCAATGGTTTTTTGTCTGGAAATAGCACATTTAAACATTGACCCCTACATACAGCTGAATGTTGACCTTTGACACAAAAATGTTTCTGAGAAAAAAATGGGCATTGACATCCTTAACATCATATCAAAATATAAGTTTAAATGCCTTAAACCGTTTTTGCAATATGTTGGTTTAAAGAAATATTTCCTTCTGTTGACATTTGACTTTTATGACCTTAATCATTGATCAAGGTCAACCATTTTTTTCAAATCTGACAGTTAAACATCTCAGTATATTACATATCAAATATCAAGACATTTTGGGGGGTCGCGATGGCCGGGTGGTCAAGGCATCTGACTGTCTTTATCACTATAGCCCTCCACCACTTGGTCAGGGGTTCGAGGACTACATGAGGTTGCCGGGTACTGGCCGCAGGTCTGGGGATTTTCTCAAGGAACTCTGGCTTTCCTCCACCATCAAAACCAGGAACATCCTTTAAATGACCATAGCGTTGATAGGACGTAAAACACAAACAAACCAAACCAAACCTTGAAAAACTTTAACTTTTTCAAAGTTTGTTACCCCAAAGAGAGCATTTAGAAACTTATGCTTTGGACAAACTTTGGTATTAAAAATAAACGAAGGGCCATAACTCTGTATATAGTGGGGCACGAGACCTAATCCCAGTGCAATGCAAACCTTCTGTGAGTGATGCAGGTATAGTTAAGTTTGATTAAGATATCTTTAACGGTTCAGAAGTTATGCTGTGGACAAACTTTGATATTAAAAATAAACAAGGGCCATAACTCTATATAAAGTGGGGCACGAGTCTCGATTTTTGTGTGAGAGATTCCCCCTTCCCAAGATGCATAAATATGGTAAGTTTGGTCAACGTAGTTGAAATAACATGGAACATATTATGCTCCGGACAAACTTCGGTATTAAAAATAAACAAAGGGCCATAACTCTATATATAGTGGGGCACTAGACCTAATTCCAGTGCACTTGCACACTTTCTGTGAGTGATGCAGGTATACTTCAAGTTTGATCAAGATATCTTTAAAAATTAAAATTAATGGCCCGGACAAGTTGCGATTAGAAGGAACCAGAACCAGAAGAAGAGCAAGTACTAATACAATATGTCTCCTTCATTCGAAGGGGAGACATAATAAGAATGATAAGAATAAGAATAATAATAAGGAATATAACAAAAACAATAGGTCTTTTCACCATAAGGGAAAAGCCCTAAATATGAACAAAAGCGTAGGAAGAATCAATACAATACCAAAATTGATTTAAAATATGTTTGAAAATGTCCAGTTATATTGAGTGACGACAGAAAGCATTTCGAACGAGACACAATAAGATTTTTAACATTCTTTATTATGAAGCGTATTTGGCCCCATTTGCGTTTCCAGTTCAACCAGTAAAAATGGTCAACCTGGAAAGAAAACGACAGGCGCAAATCAGAACCGAGGCTGACCTCAGGAATATTTGGGCACATGTAGATGGAGGGGTCAAGACGGGCCTGACTGAAACTAAAATGCTGACTAATACTAGTTTGCGTTATTTCTTTATAAATCAAGGTCGAATCAGATGCAGATTTTAAGATACATTATGTATTTTAGTGGACGCGTGAAAGAAGGTCATAATATTCTTGATATATATTAATTGTTATTTATTATTGTCTGCAACTGTGCATTTTCTAGCTCTGCCTATATAGCTCGGTCCAAGTGCGTTCATTTATTGTGGAATATTTCTGTGAAATCTGTACCGTTTCAACCAGGATACACAAATGTAGCCTTAAACACATAAGTTAATCATCCTATATACAAATAAATCTTTCCTGGATAGTGAAAATGTGTTTGTGCCAAGTAGTGAAACTTATCTGCTGAAGGGAAGATAACCAAAACAGAAGTTCTTAAACAGGATTATGGTAGTAAAGTTTACTGTATGCACACTTCATAAGGCGGAATGCAATAACACTTTCACATAAAATGTAATATGATCATCGATTGAACATCACTAATTGTGGCATCACAAGGTACATATACCAATAAAGTCATAGGTTCATCACTGTTAGTACAAAATTGGTGATAGGTCATATTGATTTCGATTGATTACATGATTAAGACAATTTCTTACTTGTTTCCATTTCATACGAGTTTTATGAAGCTCTGTGAAGCTTGTTTCACAAATAAACATGCAAAAGGAATTTGTTTGAGATTCTGTTGATTATACATAATCATTTTTTTTTCGAGATACTGTTCATCATATCTGTAAAGGTAAACTTGTTTGAGATTCTTATGGTAATCAAATGCTGTTTCAGATTCTGTTAATCAGTTGCAATGGGAATATTTTGACAAAGAGGTATGATTTGTTTTCTTACATCATCATGAACTCATAGGGAAATACACTATTTCTTTGTATCATATGAAGGTCAATGTTTTTGATGATGCTTTTTAGTATACTTTGTGGTGATGTTGTCACTACCAGAGTTTTTGTGGCTAGGATGTAACATTTCTTGGATTTGACCTAGTTTTACATGGCAGGTGTCGTTGATGAAGCAAAAGATGCTTACCCTTCTGGAACACCTGGTCTTATTCTCAATGTACCTTTTTAAGGTTTCCATGTTAATCTTTCATTGTTCATAGTTTTATCAATTTTGAGTTTGAATTATGGTTTTACTCTTGTCTCCAAAGTAAGAAACCAACTTACCATATCTTCATCGGACGTATTGCTCTCACTGCAAAGACAGAATAAGATGAAATACCAGTAATGTTGATTTAAATAATGTATTAACATATATATGGACTGCTATTGGTCCTAAGGTATATAGGAAAAAGATTTGCATATTCACCATGTCTTCCATACAGATAAAGATTCATTCTATAACTAACTAACAATTCTTCCTCTGAGTAACAAATCGTTTGATTCCATCCCTTTACTAATTGTTTGGCAGTTTCCATTGAACAATATTTATTGCAATGCTAAGTTTAGTTTCGTTTTATTTTGTTTAAAGTCCTATTTACAGGTCATTTAAGGACATGCCTCCATGCGTGTAATTTGCATACATGTGTGTATGTGTGCTAGAGGCAGTGATGTTGTTGTATTGCCTCATTGTAACATCAAGGTTCTAATGCCAACTTTAGAGTGCTACCTCACTGAAATACCATACCTAAGGCACCCAGCATCTTATTCCACCCATTATACTGACAACGGGAAACCAGTTGTTTTGATAACCCTAAATGATGAAGTTTAAGCAGGGAAAAACAACTACCACTTTTAAGGACTTTGGTATGTCCCGGCCTGGGGACAAACCAATTGCCTACCCCACTTAAGCGAAGAGTGAGGTATTGCCAAGCAAGGCACTTGGAAACAAAAACGTTTTTAGGAAATAGACAGAAAATATAAAGATTCAAAATGTTGCAATAGGGGTAGCAGATCAATTGTGTTTTCTTCCATGTTCCCTTAGCAGAAGACATGTATTGTAGTGCAATGGTACTGTAACAACAGCAAAAAAGTACAACAGATTGACATGGATTCAAACCCAGGACCTTCGACCACGACAGATGTTTCAACCAACTGAGCTATTGGCATGGGTCACCCTTGACCAACCCAGTCTACATCTGCTACGTTCTTCCCTCCTTCACCAAAGTCTTTTTATCTAAAGACACAAGACCCTATACCATCTTCTATGTGTAAAATTAGACACCAAAAGTAAAAGGAAGTGAACAAATCAACAGAGTCAGAAATGTATTTTGATCAGGATCCTCCAAACTCAGGCGGATGCATTAACCAAATAAACTGTGGGGTAACCATTAATTGAACCAGTTCAGGGCCAATATTCATGAAACCATTATCATGGTCAAGCATGGATTCTGTGTTCAAATCTGTTTTCTTGGAGCTCGATTAAATCAAGTGACCCCACCAAAGAAAAAAAAGTATTATCTCCACAATTCTTCTAAATGATTGAAAAAACATGATTTTTATGATGAAGCACGAAATGTGGCTTGAGCACAGATTACTGAGAGTGAATATGAGAAAGGTTTGTGAATACGGGTCTGTTATATTACAATGGTGATTTGATTGTGACATCACAGTAAGACTTTTTTCTCTTACTTTAATATCACCATCAGGGAATTCACATACTTGAAATATGAAGGGTAATTACTTAATTAGAAATATACCTTTCGTCTGAGGCTTTTCTCTTGCGGGCAGCTTTAGCACTGGGGACAGTTGTTCGTGAGGTACTGGCTGTGGGCTCCTCTTCACTGTCTGCACAGATAGATACAGAAACAAAGCCTTGTCTTAGATGTACTTTTATAAACTTCCAAAATCAAATCTAATTTCAGATTTAAAGTTAATCAAAATATGAAAAAAGAAATGTGAATTTGTTAAAAAAAATCACCTCAGTCGTGATTGTACCATTGGATGAAAAGTATGAAATTTAACTCAATTATATCTGTCAGAGAGGAAATGTGAAGTTCAAGAATATTTAACTCAAAACACTCTCACACTCAGGGAGTTTTGTTATCCTAGAGGAATACTACATATAGACAACAACAATAAAAACAATAATATAAGGCAAAAAACATCAGGTGTAAACAAATGGTATAAATATAATCTTATAACGAAGTGAGACAAATACCTGAAACAACAGGAGTAGGGGCTCCAGTTTCCACTGAAACAGAAATCAAACCTCATAAACAGATTACAAAATAGGGCTGGACAAGGTATAGGTACATTACAACTCAAACCAGAATAAAAGTGGAACATTTAACTGAGTCTGAAGCCTAATAGAGCCAAAATGACCACAGAACATTTGATGTAGCTGACTTAAATTATGTAATTTCTTTGAATATTATTGTTTCTCTTGTATTGTCATTTCATTGTTATTGCAAATGAAAAAGGTTCACCCTAACAGTGGTACATGCACACAAGTAATTGTCTTGCCTATATATGGCCTTCAATGACATACAATGTATACTTGCTAATATAAGAGCAACATGCTGATATACATGAACAGATGTGTTTATATCAATAACAGGTTGCTGTTGTCCGTATCACCAGTAGCCATATATAGCTGTTGTCCTTATCACCAGTAGCCATATATAGCTATCTACTATCAATTGTATCTGGAATGGGTTTTGCTGATGTTAATTTATATTGCTCTAGATCATATTTATTTCAGCCGGCTTGACAATATTTATTCTATTTTGTTCAATATGACTGGAGGCTTATCGTTTCACAGTTACTTTTACCACAGGATTACTGTATCACAAAGCCAATGGTAATTTACATGATTACATAAAATAATAGAGTATAAAAGCAATGCATGCCACTTCATTTTATTGTCAAAATAATAAAATGAACCTACTTTGATCTTTCAGCCTCTGAATCTTTTCTTTTTTAGCATTCAGTACTGCAGCAAACTGTCAGCAAAATACATGTTCAAAGAAATGTCAATAAAATACATGTTCATATTATAAGAAATGTCAATAAAATACCTGTTCATATTATAAGAAATGTCAATAAAATATCTGTTCATATTATAAGAAATAATGTTGTATACAATGTTTCAATAAGTATCAAGTTAATACAACAGGGATCTCAACACATGTACGTCAGACTTCAATGATGACAACGTTCCTTTGCTTCGTAAGAATTTGTCATTTTAAGATTTTAACAAATTTGACCCTGCTGCTTTAAGTGTTGTTCAAGGTCATTTATCTAAATGAACTGGAAAGCCTATTACCTCAGCAACCTACAGGCAAAATATCAGTCCCTGTTTCTTGGTTTATCATAAGATTTGAGCCTATTTGAACCATAATAATCTTGAATGTACTTGTGTTTAACAGTCATGAATTTATTTGACGAAACTTCCCAGCACTTTATTTAGCAAACTTTATCATGTCAAACTTCATTGACCAAGCATAATTATTCTTTTTCAGAAAGAGTTGCTAAAAGAGTAAAAGTTGATGCTGGATAGACAATGCACCTTTGCATTATCATATAAGCTCACAGATATTTGTGCCTGCAGGTGAGCAGATGATTGAAGTATCGCTGAGCATCACTTACAAGACCTTACATCAGATATAGCTATTAAAGGATTTCTATTTATAGTAACATTAACCTTTTTACATCAGAATGAAACAAGAGAACTGAAGATATTGTGTGAAAACTGATTTTCTACATATATTAATGATGTTGCACTCTTTAATCTTGTACTTTGGACAAAGAAGATATATACATGTATATATATATTCTGAGTATATGATATTGGATATGTATTAGTATTGTTTTACATTTTTGTAGTTAGCTACCTTTGAGTACAAGTCCTTTTCAAGCTCTTCTTTAGCCACAACACATTTCTCCAGTCTCTGGAAATTCAAACACAATATCACTCATTGTGTATGCAAATATAATTACACAAACTGTCGCTTTCAAAACAAATTTGCCAACAGTGAACAGTATTTTATTTTTTCAAATTTCCTGTCTTACTTTAGTGAGCAAGAGGCCCATATGGACTATATCGCTAACCTGAATATTTGAACAATCATGGTAAAATATTCTCAATAAAAGTACTTTTGGAAATATTTCTATACATTGAATCTCCTTGGCTTAAGATTTTTCCAGACTAAATGAAACTTTATACTACTCTATCCCATTTTCGCTAGCCAAGTGTTTGCTTCGTATACTTTTGAATATGAAATATTTATGCCAATTGAATTGAATTCATGGTAGATTGTTGTTTTGTGTGACATGATGATCACATAGGGGGATATCAAAATTATGTATGACTGTCTTTGATAGATACAATTTCAACAATATTAGCAGACAATGTTAGATGCAAAGGTTTTACATAGTTAGATTTACTTCTTCTCAAGCACGTGTTACATATAAAGGTTTATAAACTCTTTTTTTTTTTTTGTACCATGAGTAGGTGTATATTCTAGCTCTCTCAGCAAGGCCAAATAAAAATTACTTGTGTTTCCGCTATAATCCTCAGAAAAAATAACGTAGGTACAGTGTAAAAAGGTTTTTTTTTTATTTCAGATTTTTTTTTTTACTATGCTTATATAGATTAGGAACTCCCGACTTTGACTTTAACAGTGCATATCACTAAATGCAAATAAAATCTACGGTACATGTAGGTTAAGTAAGCGGAAACGCTAGCATTATTTTTCATTTGGGTCTTAGAAGTGGGACAATATCTGAAGCTTAAGTAGATTCCTGTGATTTGTTGCTTTATATAGATGTACCTTGAGAGCATTCACACGTTCCTGTGCAAGGTTTTTGTTGTCGATATTCAATGTACTAATCTGGTCTTTAAAATCAGTAGTCTGGTTGATACAGAACTGGAATATTTGTGTTATCATGTCTTGGCTCTTCTCGTCAGAACACAGTTTCAGAGTTGTTGTACCTAGCAGGAACTGCCAACAAAAACAACAGTATTAAGGAACGTTAACGTAGGCTTCTGAAAATTGGTTCAAAAGATTTTCTATGATAACGTTTCTTTCAACTCTGAAAGTTTAAAGAAATAGTGTCATAAACTGTAAAAAATTGGAAAAGTATTTCTCACATAACAAACTACCCTCGGGTAAATGATTAACTTTTTTATGAAAGATAAATAGGGAGAGATCCATAAGTTATGATAACAGCGACATATATGGAGTACAATTAACAATGCAGTGGGATATTAAACGATACTACAGGTGTTACGCTCACTTTCACTCTCTGCACCCCTAGAATATGGCATAGCAAAATTTGAGGCAAGTCACTGTCCAGCTATTTGATTGATCTCTGGTAAAACAAAACCCTGATGATCGATAGGCTGATACTTGTCTACTGAAGATTGCAGAGGAGCAACACCTGAGTCGACTTCAAAGCCAATTAAACATACTGTTACATGGCCGAGAGATTCTTTTTATGTACATCAAAGGATCAAACTAGTCTTCTTGTATCATCTACAAGGTGGCGCACACTGAGCCTTCGATTTTGTCATGACATATTCCAGGGGTGTAACAAAAAGGGCGCAAGCGACTATAACCCCTTGAGTATTGAGGATGGATATCAAAGTGACATCACCATCTAACACACAGGTATGTAACCACTTCCAGGGCAGTTGATCACTACGTTCATGTAGTAACTGTTACAAATCAGGACAGTGTGAAATAACAAATAGCCCATGAATTCAGGGATAAGAAATTGTCTTTCCATATACTTGTGTGCAGAAACTGATTTCACAGCAGAAACTTTATATTTCACCCTACAAATAAATGTTTCACTGAATCTATTTCAGTGGAATATCTTATTTGCAAAGGATTTGAAAATTAAAACCACATGAAAACATAAATTTTATAATAGCAATGATTTTACTTGACAGGAACTAGAGATAATCATATTTATTTTCATATATAGAAACAGTGTTACTTCAAAGTGTATAGTAATATTTATTTTTATATATAGAAACAGTGTTACTTTGAAGAGTATAGTAACATGGGTATACATATTTTGGAATATCTTATTTGCAAAGGATTTGAAAATTAAAACCACATGAAAACATAAATTTTATAATAGCAATGATCTTACTTGACAGGAACTAGAGATAATCATATTTATTTTCATATATAGAAACAGTGTTACTTGGAAGTGTATAGGAATATTTATTTTTATATATAGAAACAGTGTTACTTGAAAGTGTATAGTAATATTTATTTTCATATATAGAAACAGTGTTACTTGGAAGTGTATAGGAATATTTATTTTTATATATAGAAACAGTGTTACTTGGAAGTGTATAGGAATATTTATTTTTATATATAGAAACAGTGTTACTTGGAGGAGTATAGTAATATTTATTTTTATATATAGAAACACTGTTACTTGAAAGTGTATAGTAATATTTATTTTCATATATAGAAACAGTGTTACTTGGAAGTGTATAGGAATATTTATTTTTATATATAGAAACAGTGTTACTTGAAAGTGTATAGTAATATTTATTTTCATATATAGAAACAGTGTTACTTGGAAGTGTATAGGAATATTTATTTTTATATATAGAAACAGTGTTACTTGGAGGAGTATAGTAATATTTATTTTTATATATAGAAACAGTGTTACTTTGAAGAGTATAGTAACATGGGTATACATATTTTGGAATATCTTATTTGCAAAGGATTTGAAAATTAAAACCACATGAAAACATAAATTTTATAATAGCAATGATCTTACTTGACAGGAACTAGAGATAATCATATTTATTTTCATATATAGAAACAGTGTTACTTGGAAGAGTATAGTAATATTTATTTTTATATATAGAAACAGTGTTACTTGGAAGTGTATAGTAATATTTATTTTTATATATAGAAACAGTGTTACTTGGAGGAGTATAGTAATATTTATTTTTATATATAGAAACAGTGTTACTTGGAAGTGTATAGGAATATTTATTTTTATATATAGAAACAGTGTTACTTGATAGTGTATAGTAATATTTATTTTTATATATAGAAACAGTGTTACTTGGAAGTGTATAGGAATATTTATTTTTATATATAGAAACAGTGTTACTTGATAGTGTATAGTAATATTTATTTTTATATATAGAAACAGTGTTACTTGGAAGTGTATAGGAATATTTATTTTTATATATAGAAACAGTGTTACTTGATAGTGTATAGTAATATTTATTTTTATATATAGAAACAGTGTTACTTGAAAGTGTATAGTAATATTTATTTTCATATATAGAAACAGTGTTACTTGGAAGAGTATAGTAATATTTATTTTTATATATAGAAACAGTGTTACTTGGAAGTGTATAGGAATATTTATTTTTATATATAGAAACAGTGTTACTTGGAAGTGTATAGGAATATTTATTTTTATATATAGAAACAGTGTTACTTGGAAGAGTATAGTAACATGGGTATACATATTTTTTACATGTATATATAAATGTCTGGTCTTGAGGTTTTTAGCTTTGAATTTTCTAAAATAAATAAATCTGTAAAAATGTTTTCATACTGCAATTTCCTTTGATGACACATTTCTTTTCCAGGAGAACTCCACAGCATTGGGTTGGTGTTTGAGTGTGAAGCGATACTCATTATCCTTAAATGTCTCGCCTGTGAATGCTTCTACAGTCTGCCGCTGATACTCCTGAAGGTATTTCTTACTTTTCTGAGTTGAGTCCCCAAAGTTGATCTGAGTCACTAAAATTAAAATGTTTCATTGTATATTTTTTAGAACTTTATAGTTATGAGAGGTTTGCATGGACAGAGACAAATTAAAACTCTACCCAACATATGACACACCATGTCAACCCTCCAAAACTAAAATAATTTAATTACAATGTTTATAAGTATCATGATTGGCAGTGTTTGCCGAATAGTTAGCCATTATAAATGTTTTAGGTCCCAGGTAATCAGACCCAGCTGAGCAGTCTTTATTGACAGTTTAACTCCATGGTATACAAAAGGTGAACTATGACCTTAGGCATTGCAAAGATATGTGAATATTTTGTCTTTAACAAACCTATACATGTACTGTTAAATATTTCATGGTAATTTAATTTCACTAAATTCACAACATGAAAAAAATATGCATAATAAAGTTAATCCCACAAATTTTGTTGCCCATCGGTAGGAGTCAGTTGTGTGAAATTTGAACATGGCAAATTCGTGACCCCACAAAATCAAAGCACTATCTAATTTCGTCATTACATATATACCTTGTCCCATCCAAACTTTGAGTCCATCACTGAGAGTCAATTTGAATATGCAGTAATATTGATCTTCATCCACCAGCGTGGTCAGCAGGTAATATTGTTTATCTTCATTCAAGTCAAGCTTAACAAATGTTTTTCTTTCCATTATGCGAGCCCTGTCAAGAAAATAAAAACACAGAACATAAATTTACCTGGGTAAATGTACATTGTAACAGGATAGAGAAAATGAAACATTCCAAGTCATCACTCGAACTGGAATTCCAAGTCATCATTCGAACTGGAGTTCCAAGTCAGCATTCGAACAGGAAACCTACATCCTTTAGACAAACACTCCAACCAACTGATCATGAGATTAATCAAATCTTTTACCTGTAACTGAGCGAGATCGAGTTATCTCGGTCTGTAACATCCCAACCTCGGCTTACGCCTCGGTTGGGATTTTGTTACAGAATCTTAGCCCGAGACTGAGATAACCAGATATGATCGTGTATTGACAGACGAAGCTAGTGCCTGTGCAGACATGACCGAACCCGATGACGCGAGGTGAAATGAATACGCGACATAAAATGAAATCAGTATTCAATGCAGTGACCTTTATATAACATATAGATCTCTGTACAATGTCATTACCAAGACGTACAGTAGAACAAGTCGCTCAAACAAGACACACACACACACCAACCACAGTCAGTTCCTTATTAAATGTAAACAGGAAATGGTATATAAATACTAAAATAAAAGTAAATACAACGGAGACCATTGTACGACTATGAGAGTAACTAATGCTCACACGATGTCAAATATGACTAAGACATTTGATAAAAAAAATATACATAAGCGTCTTTTACTTATAATAAAAGCCACAGTATGAAAACAAATAATTATGATAATAAAAATTAACCATTAAAAACAACACTTTTGAGACGACCCTTCTCCACTTTTACGGGACACACTAACGTCAAGAACGGAATTGTACCGTTAATTAATTTTCGTTTCGGAAGCTTGCACACGTTTTTAATGTGTTTACAATGACAAAGGATAAGAGGATAAATTAGAAAATGCTGGTGGTTGACACTTCATACAAAATATTTCGGCAGCTTGTTCAAAAATTTCACACGGACGAATTCCTGACACTAGGAATACCCATTTCATCAAGAAAAATGGCCACCTCCTGGTTGAACGCTGCGCCCGAGTTTCTTTTGGCCAGGTTCCCTTTCATCAATGCTTTATCACTACTCATGCTTCTTGGGGAACGTGCACAGCAAGAAACGTAAGCTAAGTATAGTTTGATTGGTGAAAGATAAAAATCTTCGGTATATATATAATCGTTATCAATTTCTTCCCTCGATGATAACAGCCAAAAAGATGCAAGTAAAACTCGGAACGAAACATGAAATGGAAATCCGGAACATAATGTATCTGTATCTGTATCTGTGTTGATAATGAAGTTTCTACCTATTGCATGGAAATGAATATTGTCTTCAGTTATCACTTGCCGGGAATTACTTCATGCATTTGAAAATCTATGAACGAATGTTTTGTTTAAATTGTTTTTAATAATTGATACAAATCTATTTAAGCAGTAATTTTAATTAAAAGATGATTTTTTTTTACCAATAACGGAGCCGATGGAGCTGTGCAAAACTGGACGAAACATTAAACGATTGTACAATTAAGACTTTTTCGCCAAATGTGTGTGTTTTTTTATTTGCACAAAGCTTTTTTTCTGTAATGTTATTAATAAAAAGTCATTAGTTACTTATTTACAATTATAATGTCTGATCATGAGTTGCCCTCCCTTTGTTTTTTAACAGTCCTTTAAATCACATATATATTATCTCCCCTTTTTATAGCCTAAGTTTCCTCTGGCCCTGACATCCGACTTAGTAGCCAGAGTTTCCTCCGGCCCTGACACCCGACTTAGACATTGTGACATATAGATTTCTGGTATACTAGCCCGAGTTTCTTCTGTCTCTGACATCAGACGTAGACATTTTGACAGGTAAATGTCTGGTGTCTACTAGTCTGGTGTCAGGGCCAGAGGAAACTCAGGCTGAATTTTTTACTGTGCAACCTCCCCTGGTATCATTAGTTATTTTCTCAAACGTTTTTGCCTCCCTTTAACATGATTATACTGAATATGTAATTCTGTTTTCCTGCCGAGTTGACTTCCCTTTGTGTGTCATTATAAAAAATAACTCACACACTGACTTATCTCCTCTTTTTGTCAATAACATTCTTTTTCAATTGTCTCCCCCAGACAGTCCTTACATCAATATTCATATTCCTCTACTTACACTGAAATGTCTCACCATTTTGTCAATTAGTCATGCACTGTGTTGTTTCTTTACCTTTCTCTACTAACACTGTGTATACTTTGTGGCATTATATTAATTGGTCACACCAGATAATTTCTTTATATTACCATGCTGTACTCATACTGAATTGCCATTCCTGTGTGTTGTAAAACACTGATCTGTTCGTCTTTTGTTGTCACAGCCACCCGCCCATACATCCGAACGTGATTTATGCCAATGTAGCAGTGTTTCTGACCTGCGGGTTCCTTCTGTCAGGAAAAGTAATGCGGAAGGAACTATCATTGGTGTGTGCTGGACAAATGTTGTTTTTCGCCTACAATATGTACACCAACACATACCTCCACTACTCGCAGTGGCAGAGGGTACGTCTCACCAAATAGCTGCATGTTCATGTACAAATATATGTTATCAACCGGTGTATTATACATTCAAACTTGCATAAGCATTGAAACTATTGGTGTTGATCAGTACGCAAAAGCGTTGTTAGCAAATACACTGTACCGTAAATTTTTCCTTATTTTTGTGAAATAACTGTATGCACTAACAATCCAGACACTGTAAAACTTCATGAAAAACCAATATTCATTCCATGCACTGATGAAGAGATTTTTTTTTAGAATTCTAATATGTTCTTTTGCTTAAATTCCAGATGCGTATGAGCATACGACATTTAGGATGTTCAGGGATGTTCATTTTGTACTCGCATCTACAGGATAAATCGGGGTCCAGCCAGCTGCGGCGGTTAGGGGAGATAATTGTGGGTTTATATCTCATTGGGATCACCTACATCCTTAACAATAGTGCAGAAGACAAGCGTGCCTTCCTCTCTCACATCGTTGGCGGTGACTGGAGCAGATATTTCTATACACTCATACTTGCTTGTGCAGCCTTGAGTTTTTTCTCTGGATATTTCCTTCGAGATATGTCCGTTTCCATGATAATACTATTAACTTTATCCACATTGTTTGTGGACTGTGACTTTACATTCTGGACGAACAGACGTGGAATGCATTTATGGAATCAAATCAGAATTGTCCTTGATGACATTTGTCTAATTTTAGGCTTTACTATGCTGACAGTAGGGTTTGACAATCGAGTAAAGACTAAAAACGATTGATCATTAATTAGTGTCAGATTTCTAATGATTTTGCTGTTGTATACATAATTATGTATTTAAATATTTCTTATTTTTTCTCTCTCAATTATGGCATTAAACTAAAGCTATTTTTCGAGTAAAATATACTGCCATGGCATTTTACAAATGTACAAACGTATTCATATTTTACATGTAAATAAAACAACCTTAAAGGGGCATCACGTCGACACGATGAAGTAACTTTTTTTGTCTATTTTTCAAATACTACATAAACATATCAAGTGAGATTCCTTATGGAAAATAACGATCGGATTTGGCTGAAATAGATTCATAAAAATGATTAAATCTAAGATAATCATCGGTATTTCTACCTGTCTGACAAACGTTTTGTTCAGGGATTTCCCTCTACTAGCATTTCATTTCATCATGTTATATGTACGTACATTGTTGTATACCATTGAATTCTGTTGTGACATTTAGAATATAAAAACAAATCTGATATATATATATATAGTATATGGGTTACCTTGTTCTAGATCTTCATTTATAACTTTAACCATACCCATAATGTACAGTAGGTCCAAACGGTTTAGGGGTATATATATGACTGAAGTTTTTTTCAACCTTGTTAGTATTCATAAGTTTCATTTAACCTTGTTAAAAAAATCTCAGTATATGTAGTTTAGTGACATACAGCAAGTACTTCCATTCTATGACCTACAACTCTAGCTAGGTTCAGTAGATGAAGTTGTCTCTGAAAAGAGCCGATTATTAATTTAGATGTCAGTCCAGATATAGAATGTACCTGTAAGACATGTTGAAATATTCTCCCTTTTTGGCCGGATCGCAATACAATCAGGGCCTATAGATTGGTGATTCGCGTCCGTCCTTCTGTTTGTCTACACTAAGGTTAAGAAGAATGGTTAAGCTCAGTTTCCAAGTTATTAATTATCCCACATCAACTAAACTTGCATGGCTCATGTATCTAAGTATGCTTATCACATGCAATGCTTCGGTTGCTGCTTCTGAACTACATTTTCCGCTTGACTGACCAGGTTAAGAAGATTGGTTGAGGTCCCTCCCCATCTGCACTATGGTTAAGAAGATTGGTTTAGTTCAATAACCCAGTAACTACTCCTCCTACATCAACTAAACTTGCAAGGCTTATGTATCTTAAAGGGTGCTTATCACATGTGATGCTTTACATGAAAATGTACTGTAATCACCATTGGCGGTTTCTTGTTGGCTTATCAAAGCAGTTAATTAGTGTCACCTTAGACACCCCTACTAGAACTATAGACTATCCTCGGATATGTTAGTTTGTAGGATTTTTCCTCTTAGTTCAAAAAAAGGGTAGTTGATTCCAGCAGCTTGATTAACTCATTCACCCTTGACATGTCATAATGAACTGTTCCAACCTTTGAATTTGAGGAGTTGAAATGTGTCTTCAGGGGTGAATGAGTTAATCCCTGGGATGTTATTCATCATGTCGAGCAATCTAGATCTTCGCATATCCTTAGGGGGTAGGACAGAGGCTAGCAAATATTTTTTCAAGTTGATATGGTCGGGCAGGATGTTGTGTCACTAAGACTTAAATCATGTGACACTTCAGCTCCACCAGTAAACCAAATATATTGATTGTTTTTGGTTTCCCTCAGCTACTAACCCTATATTTAGCACATACCAGTACTTTATGGCTACTTTAGCATTTACTGCTGTTTTTATCATGCCATCCCATTTAACTAAGTGTTGGGAATCGCTTTGAAATTATGGTAAAATTGTTAAAGTTGAAATGTATACCTTTCTAGTGAAAAAGGAGAACAGTTGTCTGGTTTCTTCAGTGTAGGTTGCCCGAGTTTCAGCGATGGTGCCCAGTCAGGGTCACTTGTAGCATACAGATTTGCTGGCTTTCCTGAAGATAGAAAATATCAAATTAAATTTGTACATATACAGGAAATGGGTTATTATTTTCATTTGCTTTACATATTATACAAGTCCACCCCAGATATAAAACTGCTACAAGTTTAAAATTTATTTGAATATTATAAATCACCTATGAAGCATTCCTTGTTGATTTGTTGTGGAGACTGATTATTTGTACAGCATTATTTGGATCTAAACTGAGGTGTTCCGAGTAAATTAACGTTTTATTGCTTTAGATCAAGTTTTGGTAAAAATGCCACCTTCAATGATTGTGTGTAAAGTTATTAACTATGTAAAAATTTGAATTACTCTGAACACCTCAGTTTAGGTCCAAATATAACTGCCATAGATTCTCAGGTCCCTGTGGATGATTTGATTTCCTATATTCTGAGCAAATGATAAATACAAAAACTTAATGTTGATGAAGATGCTGACATAGTCAATGGACCATGAAAGGTAGGTCGCATCCAGCATGTGATGCATGGGTTGAGATTTACTACCTAAGATGCATCTATGGTCCAAGTTTAGTTGGTCTAGCACTTATACTTTCAGTGAAACTTATTTAAACATAAAAACTTAATGTGATGAAGATGCTGACATAGTCAATGGACCATGAAAGGTAGGTCGCATCCAGCATTTAATGCATGGGTTGAGATTTACTACCTAAGATGCATCTATGGTATAAGTTTGGTTGGTCTAGCACTTATACTTTTAGAGAAACTAATTTAAACGCAAAAACTTAATGTGATGAAGATGCTGACATAGTCAATGGACCATGAAAGGTAGGTCGCATCCAGCATTTGATGCAAGGGCTGATATGTACTTCCTAAGATGCATCAATGGTCCAAGTTTGGTTGGTGTAGCACTTATACTTTCAGAGAAACTAACTTAAACACACAAACTTAATGTTGAATTCGTGGCGGCGAGACAAAAATGAGCAGCTTTATATTCCAGAATATATATGGATAAGTAAACTAAAGTATGTATATTGTCTATTACGTAAATAATTATGTTGTCATTTGTTGTATTGTTTGACCACATAATCTGTTAAAGAAAAAAAATATATACAATATATTGGTTGTATGTAATGAAGAAAGAAAGACTATGAATCGCTTCGATGTTATAAAAAATAATGTCGAAAGTGAAAGTCACCGTACCATTAAGACACATTCTAAAACTTTTCAGTGAAAAGTATAAAACAAAACAAAAAACATGTATGGGTTTAACTAATCATTTCACAATGATAAAACTGCAAGGTAACCTAAGGAGAAGAACATTATACTATCATCAGTCAAGATGATGGACTTTGTTCACGAAATAAATTTGTGCTTTCAGTATCAAATATTTTGAATACCCCGGTTTGAATTTCAATTGTATCCGGGACTCAATGAATATAGACATTCCCGTCGGACATTGCTCATCTCAGTCAGGTGCACAAATTAGTTAGATTCTTCATCAATAATAAAAAAAAATATCAATTAATCTTGAGGGGGGGGGGGAAACTGTTATGACATCGTAATTCACCGAAATAAACAAGCATTGGAACTAACATACATGTTGCTGTAATTTTATACGTTCAAAATTAGATATCGCCCATGGAATTGGATAAAGTACGTGGTTATAATTCACATAACCTGATAAAGACTCAAATATACTTTGATTAATTCGTCATTAAGTCTTAAGAGTAGACTTGAGTATATGTGTACGCACTTTGTGTAGTATGTGTACCTGTTTATTTGAATATATAAACAGACATAGGTATTACATTTCTTATGTAGTTACCTATTAGATTTTGGTTGGCTCCATAGTCCATACAATATGTGTATCGATATGCATCTGTGAATTTGTCTAGCACGTGACTTGATATAAGACGTGTCGGGGGCACATCGTCTGTGCTGAATATATTTGCTCTATGCAATTTAGATGCTGTTAAAGAGTCTTAAAACATTTCCGTATCTCTGTTTCACTGCTGTATGTAAATTCTATAACCTGTTGCTAAAAATTTAGCACATGTTAAAAAACAGAAATAAAACGTTTCAAAAAGCACGTCTTTTCCAAAACCTTGAGAGTAAAGTTACTGTAATCTATTCAAGCGTTGTTTTTACTTACTCTCTGATACAGCAGGTAACATAAAATGACATCAAACGTACAGTCTATAAAAAAATCACAAAGTATAAAAACAGATAATTAGGTTAAATAAGCATATTACTCGTTAGATATTTGATATTATTTCAAGCGTCCCGTGTAATAAGCGTCCCTGAAGTAATTGTACCTGCTGCCCTCATTGCATGATGGTAAGATCTAGAGACGACTAAATTTGGGATCTTATCTTTTATCTTCTTTCTAAACAACTTTCTTCTTCCTAATGTCTCCCTTAACAATGCCTCACTTTTGGCCTTTAGTTGAGCGTTCGCCAATGTGAGGGAGGCTTTGGGTTCTGTCCCCTGGTCGAGACATACCAGAGTCTCTAAAAATGGTAGTTTCTACTCCTTGCTTAACGCTTAGCAATTTAGGAGTGGGACGACTGGTTCGCCCGTTGTCAGTATAATGTGACCGGGTGGGGTGTCCTGCTGGGTGCCTTCGGCAGTATGTTTCAGTGAGGTAGCACTATAAAGTCGGCATCAGTTCCGCGCTATCGCAAGGAGACAAATACTAACATATCGCAACCTCCCAAAACACACGCAAAACAATACTAAACCTAACCTTGCAATAGGCTTACCCTTTTTATAACGTACATTGCATATTTAAATTATTTTAACATTTGTACTTATTTCGTAGACTACATGTAATTTTGGGGAAATCATTCTATTCCTCATTCATCTCCGCTTTCGTCTTCATTACATAACCAATATCTATAGCCCTGTAACTGTGATTTAGATATGGTACAGGTTTACACCTAATCTTACTTTCAGAAACTTTTATTGTTAATTTACCTGAGTTAAAGAATGAAGCCATACTCCAGATAACAGATTTCTGTTATTTCCTAATTACAATGTAGTGTCACAACCTCACTTGGGTTATTTATAGTAAATGTATCTCTGGGTGTCGATTCAGATTGGAACAGGGAATTAGACAACTTTTTATGTCATTAAAATTCTTTTCGATTGATGTATGATTAGCGTTACATTTTTCGTTTATCTTAAATTGGTAAATGACAACCTCTTCATAAGATTAATAAGAGACCTATAGCTGGAAAACAATATTCATCTCATTTATTTTCACATTATATAAATCTGCAGTACTGTAAGATGAATCTGAGTTAATCAGTGAATTGAAAGGACTGTGATTCATATACATTTAATATTCTATTTGAATTGCATGACAATTTCATTTTTTCGTCTTATTTATTGGATTATGTTTCTTAGAATATACGTTATTGACAATAAACATGTAAAAAAGAAAGGAAATGAAAGGAAAATATGTTCAATTATTAATATCTTGAATAGTTGAAGTTGAAAATGTTTGCTGTCTCTTCCTATGTAGAACTTTTTAATGGTTTGACTTCTTTAACTTTGAATGCATTGCAATTCAAGTACAGGTTCTTTATAATGTTATATGCTCACCAGTGTATAAATAGTTATTATACTCACACTATTTAAAACTAATTTCTATACACAGACATTATAATACAAGCTCTGTTACTGTAAATTTAATTAGAAAACTTTATTTTATAACGGATATTAAAATTATATTTGTGTACAATACAAAACTGTGGCGTATTTACTTCAATGAGAGGCAACAGTGCGTTATCGCCCTTTCGGATCATCAGGTGCTGCAACCAAATTGGCCTTACAAACTAAATGCTAACTGTAGAATTGCATGTATTGAATCAAATAAAACACGTTCTATAAATATCTGATGCATATAAAATTCATGAAATCCCCTTAACAGTTTTTAAATTAAACCTGAGGTGCATTGTTTTTTTAACATTTAATGAATTTATTAAACGAGTTTCAGTTTTTAACAGTAAATTAATTACAATACTGTTTCAAACAAGAAAATATTTTGATTATTCTGCTTGTTCTGCTGATGAAAATTTTAAAAAAAATGAAGTGTCTGTTGCCACATTGGTATGCAATCAGATTTGTAGGCCCAATTTTGCCCTGACACCAGTGACAAAGACGATTCCTGTAACTTAATAAGTGAAATGCAATATTTTTCATTCGTGCGATCGAACAAAACATTTTGCATATTGTTAGGTGATGGAATTTACTGTATAAATCAGATTTTTTTTTTTACAAAAAGTCAATCAACGAATCGCTGGGCGCGCGAAAACCTCCCTGGGCACTCATTTTCCGCTGGGCTCTCATTAGGATAACCGGATCGTGACGGTGGTAGGTAAATCTTGTACGCCGTTCCCGGTCCCGCACAAATACCCGTACCAGGATTATAAAGATACTTTAATAGCTTAGTTTATGTTAAAATCACAATGCTGGCTAACCTAACTAACTAAACTGCATTAGTCTTACCTGATCTATGTTCTGAGACCTATATACTTTTGACTTTTATTACTGTTTTAAAAACACTTATCACACTTCCAAATAAAACTATCCCTAGAAAAATGTAAATCTGACAGATCACTTACACATCTTTTATGAAACCATCTGTCACAGCCAGCATCACAAGATACCATGTCATCAAATACATTTGAGATGCGACACCCATCTCCTTGGCAATCAATAAACAATAAAATGATATGAAGTCTTGTTTTGATACATAAGCTCTAAAGTACTTTATAACTCCACTTGACTAAGACGTTTCTCATTCCTTACCGAATTCAACTGATGACGTGTTTGTGAGGGAGACCTAAGGTTAGCTCGACCCTGCAACTACCCTAAACCTGATTTCCAGTTTGATTCCTCTTAAAAACTGTTGAAGGATTGTTATCACTAGAACTAGTTGACTTAACTTCCTTTAACACCGATGGAAAAGTGTTTTCCTATCTTAATACCTACATTTGTATCTTCACTACTATTCCCGTGAACCACGGACTCTAATCTAATTCCGTGCGTGAACATACCAATATACTCGAATAGTCGTTGTCGCGTCAATTATTCTGATACCAACAGCTTTGCATTATTTTTTTAGTTTATTTAAAATCAACTTCTGTCGCAAAAGTCTTGCAATATACGTTACTAAAAACAACACCTATACTACAGGCATTTATTATCAATGAATACAAGTTTAAACCATCTTGGTATATTGACTTAATTAAGATATGTTATATCGCATATAAATCCATCGACATTTATTCCGTAAGCATATTAAGTATCCTGCATGAAACTCTGTATTCATGGTTTGTCCGTTAAAATTTTAACAGATACGTGACCTGTATTTATCTAATAAAACTGTATTCATTGCCGTGGTTTTTTTTATAGCTTACACGATAAAACTGAAGTACAACCTTGTTGTACAATGTGTAAAGTTTAAGTGAATACTGAGTGAATGTTATTTTGCTGACGTAAACAGTTTTGCCGACCAGATACGTTATACACAGATACGTCGTAAATGGTTCTATAGTCGTTTCTTATAACAAAGTTAATCTAGACTCTAGTTTTGTTTCGTGAGATTTTGATGGGAACAATATAGTTAAATCTTTTACAAACTGTACATGTATGCATCAGATCGCTTAGTTTTCATGGGGAATATCTTCATATCTTAGGAAATCAAGAGGCATGAATGCACTATAATGGTTATTTTGTGTACGTTATTTTAGATATTCAAATAAGGTAAACTACTGTAGATGGATTTTAAAGGATAAATTAGTGAAAAGCTATGAAAGAAAAGGGTGGAATATGTGAAATAAAGGATCACATCAATTGGAAAACTTGACATGTAACGAACGTATATATTCAAATTGGTCAAGTTTCTGTTTTCGTGCATTACTTTCGCAAATAAGATCGATTTGGTTATGTGAACAGCTGAACATTTGAGATAGGTTCATATAATTGATCACAAGTGATAATTACATCGATTTAAAGTCTGTTTGATTTATTATGTTAAGTAGCATGAGTGTAACACAGGTACTAGCCTCGTCTGTCAACACACCTATAATATAATAGTATAGGTGTATTGACAGACGAGTCTAGTACCTGTGAGTGTAACACTTGACCAATTATAATGTGCAACGTATCTGCTAAAAGACCCATAATTCATGGGGGGGGGGGGGGGGACTCGATTTTTTTTTAGGAATCATACTTCTGAAAATAAAAATCAAGAAGGATCTAAACGTTTCAGTATTGAAAAAAACATTCTTTCAACTTTCTAAAATTGATTACGAAGTCGTCATTTTTGTATGGGAGTACTTGACGGAGTGATCTCCCATTAGCACGGGTACGGGAGTAAACAAAACACCCGTGCCAGTGATCACAACAAAGTCAGAATTTCATGTGAACATGTCGTTTATTTCAACGAAACTTACATAATTATAAACAGTAAGGCAGTTTTGTTCTATATATCTGAAAAAAACACTTTATTTATCTCTGTATTTCTAATAATATGTGTAATTTTCAAGTTTTACCCCCGGCCTTGGAAAAAAAACCTTTTAGAAAACGATTGTTTGGTTCGTGGTTTGGTTAAACTTAACCAATTAAAAAACGATCTCGTTGTTGAGAAATAACAATATCTCTATTTCCCTGGTACGGGGTTTTAGTCCGGGTCCGGAACGGCGTACACGATTTACCTACCACCGATCGTGATTGCCAGTTACCTGTGGTTTGCTGTATAGTAAACATATTTGGTAACTGGTTAATCATGCTAGTTACATTTATTGAACTCTTTTATTTACCTGCAACGAAGTGATCACTGCAGACTTTTGAAAATCTAGATGGTGTCCAGCCCTTTCGCGCGATTCTCGCTATCCAAAGTCGCCTTCGCTCTGTCGACAGTTTTTCGGTTTTCTCCCCTTGCGTTGAGGTGACAGCAGGTATCGCATGGTAGGAACGTTTCACATCTTTATGGGTAGATCGGCTGTGACAGCCAGACACAACACAGACGTTCGGCATCGATAACAGTAGTCTCTTGCGACAACACTTCTTAGAAAATTACCACAACCACACGTACGAAATAAATGACCTACAAGATGGCGGGCATATATATATATATATATGGTTACAATAAAAGCGTTTTCCACTGACAAAAAGCGTCTTCAAGTGACAAAAAGCATTGCCAGACAAAATCCTAAAAAATACAGAATAAAGTAAGCGACATCAGAAGATATGTTGTTAATATCATTATAATACACCTCTATACCAAATAGCGATTTGATATTTTAAAAAAAATGACCGAGTTATGATGAATTGATTTTTTACTATCGGCGGCGTTGCATACCGTATCAAGTTAACAAAGCCGCGTTGCCAGACCAACTCTTTCAAAATACTCACTAAAGTAAGCGACATGTAACTATACTTTATTCAGTACAAAAGAAATTCGTTCGATGATTATACAAATGGATATACATATATCATCGTTTGGCCCGATTACATTGTCCAGTGAGTAAGTCCTGTATCAGAAAACAGACCTGGCCCGCATGGAATCTCGAAAATTCTTAAACCGATTCCCAAAAAAGTGTGTTTGAAAAATTCTTAAGTCTTCAATCTCAAATTTTAAGTTTAGAATGGGCTAAATATTAGAAAAACATGTGTCGCCCGTTTTTTAATCTCCAACTTACCTTGAAAAGTTAAGCATGGATGCAATACCTGTATATACAGCAGACAAGTTTCAGAAAAGTAAGGCTACACTCGTTGTGGCATGCACGAAAGCTTCATACAGTTTCTTTCTTAAGTAGACATAGAGAGAACACTGACATAAAAATGAACCTCATCCTCAACAATCTGGATGCTCTTATCATCAAGACAAACAACACATTCTATCCATCTTGTCTACTCCGGACCATCTACTTGTTTCAATAGCTACAATATGGTTACTGCATCGGAACCGTGACAAGACTACCATGAGGGTTCTATTCGATATACAATGTAACTGACATATATATACCTTTCTATTTAAAGGAGAGGTTTGAATTGTCTATGTGTTTTTAGCTATTCGCTTTCATGTAAATCATTACACTACGTCTGTTTCCAACAATCCTGTAGTCGTTGCTTTACTGTATGAAGCTGAAGCCTAGCTCATCGAGTAAGCGTTATCAAACGATACCCATGTTGTTCTACCTGTCCTGTCAAGTTTGTATATCATAAGGCAGCAAGTCTTTGGGAATCTATCCTCAGGCGTGTGAAGCATTTTCAACCAGTATTCTACAACATTATACATAAGGGTTACATGAAGTGGGAATCTATCCAGTTCACCGTGTACAGCTGCATTACATATATTTGTATTGACAGACAAAACTTTCCGAAAGACTTCAAGTGTACATTTTCGACATTTCACATTTTCGTATTTCCATACATCTGCGCTAAACAGCTTATTGGAACAATCATTCTGTCAAAAAGAAAAACAAATGCTTGTTTGACTTGAAAATATACCTACGTAATTATAACATATGCATGGCTTTACTGGCCTGCTGTGTAAGAGTATTGTGAGTGAATCCAAGACAGCACTGGGGTGAAGAACAAATCCAAATATGTATAGGCAGATACAGTTTTTATCTGCTCGCCCTTGCAGAACCATGTTTCATAGTTTTTACAATGCCGCCCCGTCTAAAGACTTTGAATTTGGTTTTACTTAGACTGATCTTCATACCAAAGCGGTCACCGAAGTCATCCACAGCATCTATCTGTTGCTGTAATCTCCTGAAAGTGTCGGCTACATTTGCAATATCCTTAGCATGCATTAGACAGATGATGCTATTGACATTTTCATTTACAGAAATACTGTGACACTTTGTTGAGTGTAACATTTCAATAAGTTCGTTTAGGTATGTAGTAAAGAGCAATGAACTTATCATACAACCCTGCCTGGTACCTACTGTACAGCCCTGTCTGATACCTACTGCACAGCCCTGTCTGATACCTACTGTACAGCCCTGTCTGATACCTACTGTACAGCCCTGTCTGATACCTACTGTACATCCCTGTCTGATACCTACTGTCCAGTCCTGTCTGATACCTACTGTACAGCCCTATCTGGTACCTACTGTACAGCCCTGTCTGATACCTACTGTACAGCCCTGTCTGATACCTACTGTACATCCCTGTATGATACCTACTGTACAGCCCTGTCTGTACCTACTGTACGGCCATGTCTGGTACCTACTGTACATTCCTGTCTGGTACCTACTGTACAGCCCTGTCTGATACCTACTGTAC